GGCTTAGTGTAGTCTGCCACCCCACTGCTCTGCAGAGCTCCCAGACCACTGTGGGATGGGGCACAGGAGGCTGGGCCTGCTGTGCCCATGCAAGAAAGGCAAAGCCAGAGCTGGCTCTTATTAGTTCGACTCCTTAGGCTCCCAGTGGGATCTAGTTGTTTGAGAAAGAGTGGAACCCAGGGAGGAAGGAGGGCCCCTCACAGGTACCATCAGGACCTAACCTTGCTGGTGGCCTGATTTTGAAGAGGCCACATTTATCTCTGTCCCCCACATTTGGGGGAGGCGCTTCTGTAGGCACTTACGGTTCTCTGCCATCATTGACCAGGAGGCCTTACCTGATCCCTTGTTTGCATCAAGGTCCTCTTGCCTCTGGGGATGTCACTTACACAGACATCCCCAGTCAAACTCAAGCTCCACTCACCAACTGTTCTTTCCAAACCTCAATTTTCTCTACTTCACAGGAATAATAATGTGTATCTTCTCTTGATTAGTGAAGAGAAAATAAACAAAAGAGCCCATCCTAGGCCCTGCTGTAGGTGTTCTTGGTGATGCTGCTGGCTAAGCACCTGATCTCAGACCTGTGGGGAGTAGGGAGAGACCAGGACACTTTCTAGTCCAGTGCTGGAGAAACAAGGTCCTCCTGGGCAGAGCCACTTTGAACCCTTTGTTCACTTCCTTTCCCAATGAGTCAGTCTTTCTGTGAGCTGCCAGGCCCCTGGAAGGCCTCCACCCACTCCTTTGCCTGGGACCTATGGACTCCAGACTACAGGAGCCAACCAGTCCCCCACACAGAAGTCTTTAGTAGGGAACCCAGACCGCATCCACTCAGAACAGTCTGGGGTCTTAGATGTTGCCCTGTTTTACAAAGAAGTAACCTGATCAAGGTATCTAATCCAGATAGATGTCAAGCCCTGAGACTGAGAACCCAGAACTGTAGGATCCTGCAGGCTCTGGGGCACCAGGGACAGGGTTTCTCAGGACTGGGCATCAGGTCTGCTAGGAGGAGGCCAGGGAGACAGCTCAATGGCATAAGTGTTTGACTGTCGTGTGCAAGGTCCCAAGTTTGATCTCCAGTACTGCAAGCAAAATAAAAAAAAAAAAGGCATGCAGGGGCGGGGGGCGGGCAGGTACTTCTAGGAAGGTAGGGCCTCTAATAGAAGACACTCATTCCAAGGAGCTTAGCTCCCCAGGGCAGGGGTGGGTGTGTGTGTGTGGGGGGTGTTGACATTGGTAACTTCTCCCAGGCCAAGGGCCTTGAATGGTGGAAAGAGATGCCCTGAGCAGTTTGGACTACCAGGCCTGGGCTCCAGCTACTTCTCAGCCTTTGTGACACTACCGCACAGGAAAACCTTCTATTTTGGGGTTCTATCCCACCTCCCTTTCTTTCTCTGCAAAAGGTGACAGTATGCCTGTCCCAGCAGGAAGCCATAATGGCAGAGGAGCTGCTACCCCACAACCCGGGTGAATGCGGAGCCCTCCGCTTTCCCAAGGCCCATCACCAGAAAGGCCAGGCTCCCTTCCTCTCCTAGGATGGATCTCTTACCTTTTCAAACCTGCTCCTGCCTGGCCTCAAGGAAGACGAACACATTTTTCTGTTGTTCAACAGAAACACTGAACTAGCTGGCTGTGGTGGCACATACCCATAATCTCAGCACTGGAGAGGCTGAAGCAGGAGGATCACATAATGTAAGGCTAACCTGGGCTACATGGTGGCATCAAGGTAGCCTGGACTATATAACAAGACCCTGTGTCAAAAAAACAAAACAAAAAATACTAAAGTGAGTGTGCTGGTACACATCTATAATCCCAGCACTTGTGACATAGAGGCAGGAGGATCATGAGTTCAAGGCCAGCCTGGGCTACACAGAGAGCCTATCTCAAAACAAAACAAGCCAGATATGGTGGCAAATCCCTATGATCCCAATACTCAGGAGGGTGAGCCAAGAGAGTTGCCACAGCTCAAGGCCAGCCTGAGTTCTGTAGCAAAACTCTATCACACTTTAGTATATGTGCTGCTCAAGCAAGCGTGAGAGGCCCTATATCAAAAAACAAAACACAAACAAACAAACAAAAATATCACCATCGGGGGCCAGGGAGATGGCTCAGTGGAATAAGCGCTTCCCTGGCAAACGCAAGGGCCTGAGTTCAATCCCCGGTTCTGCCTAAAAAAAAAGGAAAGAAGACCCACTGAAAGGCCATCCCCAGGAAATGGCTCAATGGTATCACTGGCTACCCTCAGTCATTGGCTGGAAGCAGCTCAGGCATCGGCAAACAGAAAGGAGCAGGGGCAAGGCTGTCACCACTGTCATTCCCCCAGCACACTGTTCCTCCGTGGTTGCCCACAAACCCAGCGTGCCCCTCGAGCTTCCAGGCATGTTTCTTCTGTTGACATAATGACTTTTCGAACACTCAGGAAATAGCTTTTGACTCAACTTCTAGATGCAAGTGGGTCCTGGAACTAAACTCTTCTCTGAGGCAATTCCTGGCCTTGTAGCTGAATTGCTGTCCTGGGCATTCAGGTAGGCCCTGGAAAAGATGTCAACCTTGTGCCCAGTAGATGACCACCCTATGATTTCAGGGTGTGTTCTCTGTGATTCACCCAACTTCCTGCAGTCTATGTTTGGACTGTGCCTTTCTCATCAACAGTTGATTGATACTGATAATGGCCTTCAGCTGGCTTCCTTCTGCCAGAGGCTCATGTCCTTTTAAGGGACACAGTCAGAGGTTGAGTCTAGATGCTGTGCTGTGGACCTCCCTGGGGACATAGTTCAGTGGCCTCCAGTGGGAGTTAAACTCCAGGCCAGCCTGGGAGGGAAAGTTCTCCAAATAGAACTTCCAAGGATCTGCTTGCTTGTGAGTGCCAAATCGTTGATAGCACCCCATGATCCCCTATAGCCTGACTCCGTAGGAAGTCACCAAGAAGACAGAGCATCACAGTCAGTCCTGATTTTGTCATTGTGAGGGAAGAAGGAGAACCAAGTTCAGGCCTAGTCACCTATTGTCCCTCAACCTTTCAGCACAAGACTTGTGCTACCCCTGGCCTTGGGTGAAGCTTTGGGGGACAGAGAGAGATAAGGAGCTCCTGTGGGGTCATTCCTGCCGATGACTTAGTATTGTCCTCATACCCACTGGGCCATTGTCTCACCACTACCCTGTGGGCAGATGGAGGGAAACACACATTAACTTCACAACAGTCCAGGGGGCAGGAGGTACTATTCATCCCCCTTATTATTTCTGTTCTTAGCTCCAGGCCCTAGGTACAGAAATATCCTGCAAGTTCAAGCATTGTAGACAGAAGGCCATCAGAGCAGAAGTCTGTGGGAGCAGAACATCAGGTTGTAGGCTGCCTGGAGATGGGCCCAAGAAGTACGGGGTGGAGGAAGCTTTCTGGTTAAGGGGAAAAGCAGAGTTGAAGGGCTCCCCTGCTCATCCACCCATGATGAGAAGCTGTCACCAGCCTTTTTTACAGAAGCTTCTGGACACCAAGGCAGGCCAGTCCCCTGAGATACCTCCTGCAGCTTGGGTGCAAGTGCCCAATAACACAGAGAGTCATTCTAATAGGAGAGAGAGCTGATCTAAGTAGAAAAGAAAGCCATTCCTATGGGATCTTTTTTTCTTTTTCTTTTTAATTTATGTATTGGTATAGGGTCTCACTACGCAGCTTAGACTCATAGTGATCCTCATGTTTTCAGCCTCCTAAGCACTGGGATTACAGGCGTGTACCACCATACCCAGTCTCTGTGACTGGCTTAGCATGCCCAGGGGAAGGGCAGGTACTGTGTGTGGTACTGAGGATGGAACCTAGTCCCTGTGCTTGCCTAAGCAGGCTCTTAGAGCACTGAGCTATCTGGCCAGCCCTCCCCTGTGGGATCTTAAGGAAGGAGGTCTTTGAGTTTTGGTCAAAGACTTGCCTCAGCACAAATACCCATAGATTAAAAAAATGACCAGATAGAAGATTAGAGGAGGGAAGCTTCAGAGGAGAAACAAAAAAGGAGCTGGGGAGATAGCTCAGTGCAATAAGTGCTTGCCTGGTAAGTGCAAGGTCCTGAGTTTGATCCCTGGTACTGAGAAAGAAAGAAAGAAAGAAAGAAAGAAAGAAAGAAAGAAAGAAAGAAAGAAAGAAAGAAAGAAAGAAAAGAAACAAAAAAGGAAAAGGAGCTCAGGTGCCTATGGCCAGCACTCCCTGCGGCCTTTCTCAGCTGCTGACCAGTTAACCCTTTTTTCCTTTCAAGTCCTTTGGTTCCTACTATGTGGAAAGCTTTCCTAGGAGAGCTTTTGACCCTGTCTTATATAGACTGGCATTCTCAAAAGCCAGACCCAGGCTTTGTTTCTCTTTATATTTGGTATATACTAAGTGCTTGATAAGGGTTGAATCAGTAGAATATCAGATGATTGGATGAATAGATATGAGTGTGGAGGGATATGGTTGTGTGTGTATAAGTGTGACTAGATAGATGGATGGATGGTTATGGACATGGATGAGTAAATGGATGGGTGGATGGACAGATGGCAGCAGGCAAAACAGAAAGAAGAGACATCAAGAATCATGAAATCAGCTCTTGGGAGGCTATAAACAGGTGGATCATTATGAGTCCGATCTATTAGTGAGACCCTGAACACCCTGTAGACCTTTAAAAAAAAATCATGAAATCTAGTGGTTAGATGTCTTTTAAAAGGAGACATTTGGAATGTTTCATGAAGGAAGCAGGAGAATGTTTTAGGGTCCAAGATGGAGGAAGCAGCCCAGGCAGTGTTGGGGGTGGGACTTGCTGGGATATAAGAAGGAAGAATAACACCTGGATTGGCAGGAAGAAAGCCAGGTGAAAGACAGATGTAAGAGGTAGAACCATAAGAGGAGCCCAAAGACCAAGGTATAAGAAGAGGTCCTTAAAGGGGATAATTTCCAGCAGTCAAATAGCTTCCTTAAAATAGATGTATGAGGTCATTTTTGTTGTTGTTGTTCATAACCATTCAGACTTTTGTTTTTCTTTTTTTTTTAGTCTCCGTAGAGACTGTCAAAAATTGTCAATGCCGACTATATTTCAAGTCGTCATGGAGGGACACTGGGAAAAGTTTTCAACTAGCAATAATTGCACCTCAGATAAACCTCATTGGCTACGATACTGCCTCTGTGCAAAGCTACCTTTCAGATTTCCAAAAGGAGTGTCCCCAGGCTCTCAGGGTTGCTGAAGAGGAGTTCTTTAGAGTACAAAGGACACAGCAGATGCCTAGGCTCCAGTGCAGGCTCTGACAGACGCCTGTGATGACCTTGAGCAAGTCCCTTCTCTGAGTCTCATGTTCCACATCTATCACTTTCCTCACCTGAAGGGCCTTAAGGAAGGAAATTTGCACAGTGTCGATCTGTGCACAACCAGGATGGAGTGTAGCAGTGCTCAGGAGTCAGAAATTTCTAGATTCAGCTTTTCACTCTACTGCTCATGTGCATTCTAAGCCCCTACACCTTTCTTCCTTTCTTTCTTTCTTTCTTTCTTTCTTTCTTTCTTTCTTTCTTTCTTTCTTTCTTCTTTCTTTCTTTCTTTCTTTCTTTCTCTCTTTCTTTTTCTTTCTTTCTTTCTTTCTTTTTTAATTTATTTAGTACAGGTCTACAGGGTCTCACTACATAGATTGAATTTGTAGTGATCCTCCTGTTTACAGCCTCCCAAGTGCTTGGATTACAGGTGTGCACCACCATGCCCAGCCTCAATCACAGTCTCAGTGTGCCCTGGGGGCAGGGCCTGCATGGCAGGCCAGGGATCGAGCCCCCAGCCCCTACATCTGCCTAAACAGGCACTTTAATCCCACTGAGCTATTTGGCCAGCCGCCTACACTTTTCTGAACCTGCTTCCTTAAAAAAAAAAATGAACAATATAATATCTGTCTGGAAGAGCTGTAAGTTTTCTTTGTGTGTGTGTGTGTGTGTGTGTGTCCAGCTCAGCCCACCAGGGGGAGGGGCTGGCATGTGGTGCTGGAGGATTGAACCGCGGTCCCTGTGTTTTGCTAAGCTTGTTCTAAGTAGGTGTTTTAGACCACTGAGCCATCTCACCAGCCCCAAGAACTGTAAGTTTTCAAAAGAAGTCATTGAAAATGCCTAACATGGTGGCTGGTGAGATGGCTCAGTAGTCTAAAGCACCTATTTAGAACAAGCTAAGCTAAGCAAAACACAGGGTTCAATCCCCCAGCACCACATGCCAGCCAGCCCCGCCCCCTGGTGGGCTGAGCTGGCCACACACACACACAAAATAAATAAATAAATAAATATTTTAAAAAAAGAAAATGCCTAACATGGGCTGGGGAGATAGCTTAGTAGAATAAGTGCTTGCCTGGTGAACACAGGGTCCTGAGTTCATTCCCCAGTACCGCCAAAAAAAAGAAAAAGAAAATACCTAACATTCAACACATGGAAGGTGGTATTCCAGAAAAGTGATCCTTCGGTTCATGAGTGTGATGATTGGGTGTTCATGCCTTATGCATGAGATGTGCCTCCCTCAAACCTTGTTATGACGTGGGCACATTACCCGTATGACGTGAAAAAAAAAAAAAAAAGGATTCCAGAAAAGTGGTGAATTAAGGCTGCCATTGCAGTTGAGCAGCAGACACCCAGACAAAGACTGGGTCTCTAAAAGGAAAGAACACCTTCTTCTGACTGTCACAAAAGTACTGGGTTTGCCACTGGGACAAAACACCCAATATACACAATGTAAAGCAGGATAGGGCTTTTGGCTCACAGTCTCAGAGGATTCAGTCCCTGGTCTGCTGGCCCCGAGGCAGAAACAGCATGGTTGGAAGCCCTGGTGGAGGAGAGATTCTCAACCCAAGGCAGCAAGCACCGAGGGAGAAGGGAGGATCTGGGAATGAGAAAGCACCTTACAGCTCACACCTCCAGCCAGCTACCTTTTTCAACTAGGTCCCACCTCCTCTAACAGCACATCCAGCTATGAATTCATCAGTGGATGAATCCACTGGCGAGTATGGCACCCCTATGAGCCAATCACCTTCCAAACCATGAGGATTTGAGCTCTAAGCCCTAACAGGTAACATCTGCTCCCATTTTGAGGGGACTACCTCCAGCAAACCTGGGACAGAAAGCATTCCTTTCCAGCTTTAACCTCTTACTTGCCAAAGAGGAGAATTCTGAAGGCCAGGTTGTGAACTTGGCTGATGACCTAAGCCCAGTGGTCCAAACATCATCTTTGTACAAGAGCAGAAAGCTGCCATCAGAAAGAGAAGGAGTCTCTTCATGTCAGGGAGCACTGTTCACAGCCCTTGTAGGCCAGGGAGAGAGGGAGAGGCTCCAGCACCCAAGTCCATAGCAAATGCTTCTTACTCCACTATTCTACAAATCATCCTTGTGGCTCAGGAAATTATCCCCTTGGGCCAGCGAGATACCTCCGCAGACTAAAGCACCTGCTTAGGCAGGCTTAGGCAAGCACAGGGAGGGCAATTCAATCTCAAGCACTATATGCCATGCCAGCCCTGACCCCAGGGCAGGCTGAGCCGGCCAGAGTCCAGGTGTAGTGGCGCACGCCTGTAATCCCAGCACTGGGGAGGCTGAAAGCAGGAAGATCATCACAAGCCTGATATGTGTAGTAAGACCCTGCAACAACCAAATACATTTTTAAAAAAAGACAAGGATGGAGAGAGAGAGAGAGAGAGAGAGAGAGAGAGAGAGAGAGAGAGAGAGAGAGAGAGAATGAGAGAGAGAAAGAAGAAAGAAAGAAAAAAGAAAGAAAGAGAAAGAAAGAAAGAAAGAAAGAAAGAAAGAAAGAAAGAAAGAAAGAAAGAAAGAAAGAAAAAGATGCTGGGGCAATGGCTCAGTAGAATAAGTGCTTGCCTGGCAAGCATAAGGCCTGAGTTCAATCCCCAGTTCCCCCCCCACCTCCGCCAAAAAAAAGAAAGAAAGAAAGAAAGAAAGAAAGAA